TTTTTTTTTTTTTTTTTCTTTCTTTCTCTCGCAGGAGACATAGCTCCATGATCTAACCATATTAGATTAAATCCAAGGTAAATTGTCTTATTAAGTGTAAAATTTTGATGATTAAAAGAATAATGAGGGATTGAATTTACTATAATAGTTGATTTTGGAATTGATTTTAAAATTGCGAGTTTGAGTGAGAAATTTTGAGATTGTTGATATATAGCAAAAGCAGGGGAAAAGTTACAATATTTAAGGTTGCATCACGTGAATTACATATTATGTTTTGTAAATGAGACAAGGATATGTACAGTAGATTTATTTTAATTGAAGAAAATTGTGATGGTGGGTGCAAATACTAAATTGAGTGAGAAAGTATAACACGGATGACATGAGAAATTGGGATTAGTGCCTGTAATGTTTAAATAGAACTAGTTAAATTTTATTTAGTGATTGAGTTATATTTATTTGCTATTTTCCTTTAGGCTTCAAGTAGTTGTGTGGAATTGCAGTTGAAAGATAGTTATTAAGGTAACTAGTTATACCCTCCAGTGTTTTTAAAGTAAATCGATAGATTTAAATGGGTTTTATCCATTTTTGATTTGTTTATCTATTTGTTTATTTATTTATTTATTTCTTGGAGAATGATTTTTACTAAAATATTTTTAATGATGGAATTAGATGAATTGTGGACCAAGCATAATATTTTTATTTAAATTTGAGATGAGATTGTGGCCATGTGAAGGTGGTTAATTTAAATTTGTTTTTCTCCAACATTATTGAAATGACTATTTTTTGAACGATTTCTTTTATTTGTCCTAGTTATATGAGTAACCCATGTGAGGGTTAAGTTGTTGGTATTGTGATAGACTCGGGATTTATGGATTGTGGATTGTGGATTGTGGATTGTGGATTGTGGATTGTAGATTGTGAATCGTGGATTGTGTATCGTGGATTGTGTATTGTGGATTAATGATTGAGTATCATTGATCATGGATTGTGAATTGTTACGCAGCCATAAGGGACGAAAAATGAAATATTTTGGTTTCGAGGAAAGAAATATATACTTTTGTTGTATCATTTTTAATAAAAATCCAGTTTTAATTTTTATGCCTGGTTGTAATGAATGGATATACTACTTACGAAGTTCTTAAACTCATGTTTTTAAATTTCATTTCATTTCAGGTGAGGAAGTATGAGCATCAGGTTTTGTATGGGGATTGAGAGATCGTTAGAATAAATTGGTAGAATTTAGCAATAGCTCAATTGGAAGTTTATTTGGTTTTATGGAATAAGATGTTAAATACTTTATGTTTTTGTTAAGGGATTTGATATTGTTATTTGGAGACTTTTAAAATTTGTTAATGGAATTGTTTATATTAAAATTGCAAGAGAGATTGTATTGATAGTAAAGGAAAATGGCCTTACACATTTATAGGGCTAACCTATAGATGTGTGGTGTTTGTTGTGCCTAAACCTTTGGGTTGGGACATGACAGTTCCTCTTCAAAAAGATCCAAAAAAGTTCATGCTTGTCTCAATAAAAAAACTCCAAAATTTTGCCTTAGATCTATGGGTATATGCAAATAAATGATAAAGTCTTTCTTCAAGCAAGTATACCCAGCGATTTTCCAACAAAAATTTCAAATTTCGATGAAGATTTGCAAAATACAAGAATGGGCATGGGAAATGATAAATGAAACAAAGAGGAAGAATTGAAGAGAGGTTGAAAGAGATAAGGAAAAGTGAGAGGGATTAGTGAGGTTGAAGATAAGAGCATTTTGGTAACTTCAATAAATATTAAAATAATAAAATGAGATAAAATAATATGATAGATAGGGATAATTGTGTAATTTTAAAGATAAAATGCCAACTCATTCCTTCTCACATGTGTTTTTTTCATGTCATTAATTGAAAAAAAAAAAAAAGGATTGATTTCATTGTAATTTAACGTGACATTTGGCACTTCAGTTGACGGAATGACCAAAATTGGTCTCAAAAATTGAAGATTAGGGATAGTATTGTTGCTTTTTGAAGTTTAGGGGTAGATTTGGTTCAAAAATAAAAGTTGAGGGACAAAATCTGGTATTTAACCTTAATTGTTTTTTATAGTTAAAGGTTTAATATTTAAATATTTTTCGAATTTAGTATTTGAATTATTAGACTTTAATTTTTTTTATTAGGTTTAGGGCTTGAGATGTTGGGTTTTAATTTTTAGGGCTAAAATGTTTAGAATGTTGTGGATGTTTTAAAGTTCAATATTTAAAGGGTAAGGAATTAGTTTTTGAAGGTGTTTAGTTTTGAATTTTTTAAGGTTTACAACATGAGACTAATGCAATATAGGTCGCCCTTTCAAAATTCTATTTGGAGGATTTAATTGAAAATTTATTTTTAAATTAATATTTTAAAAAAATGAATCGTTAAGTTGAAAATTTATTTATTTATATTATGTTCATCAATTTTAAATTAATTGGACATTTATAACTCTTTATTAAAAAATTTTTATTTATTGATATATATTTAATAATAATAAAATTTATATAATCAATAAACTAATTAGACTTAGTATATCAATTTAAAAATTAATATGTATAATCTATATAAATAGAATTTTTAATTTAACAATTAATTTTTCAAAATATTAATTAGAATTTGAAAAAAAAGCCTGTAAAATACTTTTTTCTCATATATAAAGGGTTTAAATTAATATTAAAAAGCTAATAAATCAAAATAAATTTATTTTCTAAATATAGGGACACCATTTGATAATTTAATCTTTAAAAAAATTCAGAATGTGAAGTAACGGACGCTGGAAGTTACGTGATGGAAACGTTGTTCTTTTTTTTGTTTTTGAACAAATTCACAAATTCACGAAGACTGAATTCGAATCTTTGTTCTGGAGGAAGGAGAATGCAGTTATATTGGCTTGACGCCATTGGGCCAAAGTCCCAAGTGCTACGTGACGGAAACGTTAACGATATAAAAAAGAAAAATTTTCATTTTGTCAGGACCATTTTGCCCCTTTTCTTTACCAGCATCAGACCCCTTTTGCATAGTCTTTCATTTCCGCTGTGGTTATAAGACAACACTTATACTTTGTTTTGGTCACACGGTAGCTTTTTTTTATTAATTTAAAAAATTTTAAATAATTAATTATAATATTTTAAAATATTTATTTATAAATTAATCTATTAAATAATAAATATTATCTATTTTATTAAATATATATTATTTTTAATAATTAAATTAAAATAAAAATTAAACAATTTATCTAACCATAACAAATTATTATATAGTAATAACCATAACGTCCATTCTTCCTGATCTCTTCTTAAACCACCCCTCTCCGGTAACTCCCGCCATCTCCAATTTCTTCCACATATATTAGGCATATGAGTCCCTTAATACTCATCCTCTTAAACCATTGAACCAAAGGATTTTAGATAACATAATTTTAAAATATTCTTCAAAGTTTTTAGTAATCATCTTTGTGAAGATGAAATCTCCTTCATTACCGTCTAACTTTTCCAAATAAGCTTGATATTACTATTGAAAACTGTGTATGTGGACTTAA